CTCCACGCTGGGCACACCAGGAAGGGCTGACCAGCTCTGTGGGAGCCGAGCAGTGAGAGCCCCAATGGGGTGGAGATAGTGGTGAAGGAGGGTTGAAGAGGAGAGAGAGTCAGTGAGACAGTGGGACTGGGCTGCGGGGGTGAGGATGAGAGGGGACAGAGCCGGAGAAAGAAGAGGTGGGAGAAGAGATCGGAACGGATCAGTGTGGAGAGACGGTTTCTTGGTGCCCCCCAGGGTGGGGGGCATGGGTCTGTGGCTGAATCTTATGATGAGTGGAGGGAGCCTCCGCTCAGGCCTGGGACCCCTTTCCTCCACAGATGACATGAGCTTACTCAGTCCTGGGGAGGACGTGCTCATCGACATTGATGACAAAGAGCTCCTCATCCCTGTCCAGGTAGGACGCGCACTGGATCCCGAGAGAGATGCCACCTCCCGCCAAGAGGTGCTCGAGAGAGCCCCCTTCCATGCTTCCACCTTCCACTCCGCCTCCTGCCCTCCCTTACCCCACAGCCTCCGTTGACCTCTCCTTCTATGCCAGGCTGTCCACTGTACGCAGCATGGAGCTCAGCTGGGGAGCGGTCAGGCTGGTCGGGAAGCTCCGGCCTTCGGGGCAAGACCCAATCCTTTCCCCAGGAGCATGGGAGAAAGACGGCCCTCTGCCTTGGATGGCCTGGACAGCTTTCCCCTGGAGACCACCTAGTAAGCCAGGGTGGGAGACAAGGAAGACTGGCCTGTTGCTGGCGTGCCCGGTGGCGCAGTGGTTAAGCGTGGGGCTGCTCACCACAAGACCAGCGTTTGGAAACCCCAGCAGCTCCCCAGGAGAAAGATGGGGCTTTCCACTCCCGTGAAGGGTGACAGTCTCAGAAACCCACAGGGGACACGTCTACCCTGTCCTTTAAGGTCCCTTTGAGCCAGCATTGACTCAACGGCGGTGAGTGAGTTAGTTTGTTTGCTTCTGGGATACTCAGCCCCTCTTGCATGATCCCTACCTGGAGGGCAGGTTCACCTGTGGGCTTCTGCTCGGTGCCACCTTGTAGGCAGCTCAGAAAGCTAGGGTGTCCAAGCCACAGTAGCCGCATCTTTCCATCCTCTGGCCCTGGAGGAACAGAAAGGGGGAGGAGTCAGGGAGGGACTTAATCCAAAGCTGCCCCATCCTGTGGGCATGGGGAAGTCACTCTCGCTGTGTTCTCAGCACCCGAGAGCCACTTGGTGACTCAGAAGCCAAAGCCAGTGGACTGACAGGAGGTCTGGGTGTCTTTGACAGAAGAGTGAGTAGGAGGGGGAGGCACTGTCCCGGGGCCCTGGAGGTGGCCCCAGCTCCCAAGGGCGGAGACCGCCCAGCCCTTCCTGCAGGGGAGAAGAAAGACCTCAGCTGGTTGTCCCTCTCTGTTCCAAGTTGTCACCTCCTCTCTGGGGTTTGTGGCATGCTGCTCACACGCCTGGCAGTCACCGGGCCTAGTGGCCCCCACTGGTCCTCAGGCGCATAGCCCGTTTGCTCACTCCAGGTGGGCAGGTGAGCTGGGCACTTCACAGGGTTCTCTTGACTTAGAACCATCGGTGGATCAAACATTAACCAGAAGAGCAACAGCGCTCACTTGGGTGCCGCAGTGGGCACAGGATCTTTGGAGCTCAGCTTTGAAGTTCTCCCTGGAGACGTGATTATAGGGCTCAGATCCCCCCTTCCTCCCTTCTCTCATCCATCTGTCACATCCAGGGGCATCTATGCTGTTTTAGTGCTGTGCCCTTGCTGATGCCCAGCCTGGAGGCCTTGAGCTGTGGGCCCACTGCTGTCAAGTCCTCAGTGGGCCTGGCCTTCCCCACCCCATTTATTTCTCCAGCCTCCACGGCTCCCAGCGCCGCTCCCCCCTTCTGTCGGAGAGACCTTCTGCCCCTGTCCTCTTGGCCAACTCCTAGGTCTTCTGTGAGACTCGACTTGGTGTGGTCTCTTCTGGCTCCTCCCCTTCTGCAGCCAGTCCTTGTCTATCTCTTGGTCACTGCACTTGCCTTCGGTTCAAATGCGCTGGGCTGATGTCAGAACATTCTCAGACTCAGCTTAGAGTAGGGCTGGGGCTCACTCCCCCTCGTACCCTCAGCACCCAGCCTGCCTTGGAAGAGGCATCCAGTAAATGTTGGCATGAAAGTCACTGCAACTCAGTGCTTCAAGCCTTCTGGGCTGGGAAGGGATTGGTAGCTGAATTGGGTTGAGCATTTGCCCCCCACTCTCAACTGCCCGGTCCTGGCTCCTGCTGCTACGCCCTCAGTGGGCCCGTCTGAGACCGTGCAGGGCAACAGAGGCCTGCCCAGCAGATCCAGATGCCAACACAGCCAGAGGCAGACAGAGAGGACACCCAGTCTGCCCACCATCCCCACACTGGCAGGAGCGAACTGGGCGCCGGGTTTGAGCCAGAGCAGGGTCTGTGTGCCCGGTAGGAGCAGAGGTCCACTGTGGCGAGAGCTGCTGCGAGTGTAGAGCGTGGGGAGGTGGGCGCAGGGCTCCTGGAGGTGTGCCCAGATAGAGAGTGGCTGGCCCTTCCCAGCCTCAGGTATGCAGAGAGAAGGAGGAACAAGACCAGTGTGCTCTGGTGGGGAGGCTTGGGATCTGTACTGCAGGAGCCTCACGCCTGACAAGCAGCCTGTTTTCTGTCTTCAGGGAGCCCTGGCTTGATGGAGTCTGACTGGGGGTTCCTTGGAAGCACCCAGACAGGTGGCTGAGTTTGAATTGTTGTTTTCTCTGATGTCCACTGATCCGATGTGACTGTCCAGTGAGCTTTGGCTCACTCCTCCTCTCTGGAGCCAAGGGCCGTCTGAGGAACCAGGTGTGCTGTGGCTGCCTCCTGTTCCCAGTGATGGAGCAGACAATTCTGGCTGAGCTGTCTGTCTTTCCATCACTCCCCATGCAGATGGAGGGGAGGGTCTTGGTCCTTGGGGCCTGGAGGGTGCCACGAAGCCTGTCAGTATTGGGATGGAGGGTGCAGCCTGCACTGCTGTGCTCACCGACCCCAGGGCCCATCTCTAGCTTCAGATGCACCCCCGCCACATCCTTGTCCCTGTCTGGGTCCCCTCCCATCCTGTCTCGGGGACACCGTCTCTGCTTGTGAGGTCTTCTCACCATATCCAGGTCACTCCAGGTGCTTTCCTGATGCCCAGGGCAGCTGCTGGCCCTCCCCATGGAGTGTGTTCCAGGCTCTAAAAGGACTGGCCAGTTGGAGAGGGGATTAGAAATGTACGTGTAAGATACAACTGGACACTTGGGCTTCCAGGGTTTGTAGGTCAGCATGCATGACAGAAAGGAAAGAGAGAGAGAGAGAGAGAGAGAGAGAGAGAGAGATTGCATGTATGAAAGTGGTGGTGTGTGGTTTTGTATGTATATACTTCTGTAATGCAGGTGAGTATGGTGTGGGAAGAGTATGAATGTCTGTGGTGTGTATGAATGTGTACTGGGGGTAGGTATGTATGAGTGTAGGTATGTATGAGTGTGTGGTGGTGGTGGTGGGTAGGTATGTATGTGTGTGATGGTGGTGGGTAGGTGTGCATGAGTGGGTGGTAGTGGTGGGTAGGTATGTATGTGTGTGATGGTGGTGGGTAGGTGTGTATGAGCGTGTGGTGATAGTGGGTAGGTATGTATGAATGTGTGGTGGTGATAGTGGGTAGGTGTGTGTGGGTGGTGGAGATAGTGGGTAAGTCTGTGTGTGTGATAGTGGTGGTGGTGGGCATGTGTGTATGAGTATGGTGATGATAGTGGGTTGGTGTTCATGAGCATGTGGTGGTGATAGTGGGTAGGTATGAGTGTGTGGTGGTGATAGAAGGTAGGTGTGTGTGGTGGAGATAGTGGGTAGGTCTGTGTGTGTGATGGTGATGGTGGTGGGCAGGTCTGTGTGTGTGGTGGTGATAGTGGTAGGTGTGTATGGTGGAGATAGTGGGTAGGTCTGTGTGTGTATGATGGTGATGGTGGGTAGGTATGAATGTGGGTGGTGGTGATAGTGGTAGGTGTGTATGAGCGGGTGGTGGTGGTGGTGGGTAGGTGTGCAGGAGAGTAGTAGAGTTATTGAGGATCCACACCTGGCAGGCTCCACAGAGGAAGTCAGAAAGTGGAGGCCGACCTGTCTCCACACCCGTGGGTCAGGGAGGGTAGAGGTGGCTCCCTCTGGCCTCCAGCCCAGGCTAATTTTGAGCCCGCCGCTCCAGTTATAGTCCCCGGGTCGCCGAGAAAGTGGGGTCGTACGTGCTCCTTGAAACGGAGTGCTAAATTACAACGAGTTCCAAAAGGGAACGTGTCATTTCGGATGCTGGCCCAGATCTTTGGAGCACTATGTTTAGCTTTATATTTTTCTCCCTTTTGCTCTGGCCAACTGCTGGTTTCCCTTGCACGTCTCTTAAAAAAGAACTGTATTAAAAATAAAAGCAAGGCTTCAGTAGGGCTCTGGGTGGGATGAGAGGGCTGTGCTGGGTGTTGGGGCCTTGCCCGGAGGTCATCCAGTCTTCCGGGAGTCACACCATGCCCACCAAGCCATGTAGCTGCCGGGCTGGGTGCCCAGTGGCCAGCTGTCCATGCTTCCGGCTCTGAAGAGCGCCGAGGGCTACTGTGGGGCTCTGCCAGCCGTCTTCTCTTGATAGAGCAATGGGCCTGAGCGCCAAGTCTCCCTCCGGGTCCCAGCAGAGCTCCTGGGCCCCTCACCATGCATCCCCCAGACCTCCCTGCTGAGAAAGAGGGCTGGCCAGAAGTTGACTCCCAGAGCCCCTGCTCGGCTCTCAAAGGATAGGAGGATCTGACCTTGAAAGTTCTGGGGGCCCACTGGCCTGCTAACCTCTCCAGCCTTGCAGCTCCTTTGGTGTCCCTCCCCCCCACCAACCCTCCCCCCCCCCCTTGCATTCCGGAACCCTGCGCTGTTTCCCTGATGGCTGAGGGCTTGGCTTGGCGCTGAATGAGTTGTCCTCTTTACTCCTGGGAACCTTGTCACTGCTCTGCCCTCTGCCTGGCCCACTGCCCTGGCCTTGTCCACGGAGTAGACCTGAGGCCCCATCAACTTCCCTGGGCCATTGGGGTGGCTTTGTGAACAAGGCTTCTGCCCCCTAGTCCTGACGCCCAGGCCCTGCTGACCCTGTGCCCCAGGGACCCGCTCTATGAGATTCTGGTTCTTAGGGCTGAAAGTTGACAAGTGACTGTGGAATGCCCCCAAAACAGCACAGACACTTTTCTGTAGTCGGGTGCGGTGGGGGTGGGGTGGCAGGTTAGACGACAGGACCCCAAACGGCCCTCCAGGTCTAGGGTTTGATCCTGCATCCTTGTCTTTGAGGAGAGAAGACTTTGAAACTCACCCTGAGCTTCGAGACCATGGGCAGCAGGGTGCTATGGGCTGGCCAGGGGAGGCCCAAGTGCTAGGGAGGCCCTAGGGATGGGCAACTTGCACGCCCCCGGAGGTTTGGGAAGGCATGATGTGGAGTCAGTGGGTGCCAAGGGTGGTGAGAAACCTGGTGATGGGAGCCCGCTCAGCTCCTGGCTGGGTACCTCCACGTGCGGTCTCTCACCGAGCCGAAGGGGATGCCCCTCCTCTCGTTTATACTCACCGCTGCCTGGTGAGGTGGGCTTTGCACCTCTTTGCCACGTGGGTATGCTGACTCCGAGAGGTCGGGGGCTTGGTCTGGGTCACATAGCCAGGACAGCAGTGGAGCCCGACTTGGCCAACTCCCCAACCTTATGCTCTTTCCCCACCCCTTGTCACTTCCCTGCATGGGGAGCAGAGGGCCCTTCCCTGGATAGCGGAGTGCTCTCCAGTCTTCCCTGAAGTGCTCCCTCTAACCCTGTGGCTAACCAGCGTGTTTAATTTGTAGCTTGCAGACGGTCTGTCGGGTTCGGCCCCCATTAACACGGCATCTCCTCCATCCAGTGCTCATGTATGTATGGTGTACCTAATCCTGTTCTCTCTGATTTCCCTCGGAGGGTGGGGGTAGAGTGTCTAGGGGAGCGGGGAGAGGGAAGGGAAAAGAGGTGTCCCAGCACCTCAGCATAACGCAGTCACGTCTCAGTCTCCTGGGGTGTGAAGGAGGGGCAGGGAACGCAGTGGAGGGTCCAGTCTCAGAAACAGACGTCCTGCGTTAGCCCTTTGTACGTCCCAGCAGTCATCTGACTCCTGCTTACCTGGGTGAGATTTGGGGAGTTGGGTGGGGCCTTGTGGACCAGCGGAGCAGAGAAGTATGTGGACTAGCCCCTGGTTCCTGGGACACGGGACCATGGCAGAGCGCTTCGCTCTGTTCCTCCCACATGCATGGAGGATCTATGTGGACCAGGACCCCAGCCGTCCTGGTGGATCCTCAGAAGTCAGTCTGGGCCAGGCGTTTCCCTGATGTTCTCAGCAGGGTTACCTTCTGCCTGATGGGCTGACTCTCTAGGTGTCGCCTCTATGGGCCATGTCCTCTTGGCTTCCACTTCTAACATGCCTCCCCGAAGGCCCACACTGAGGGCCAAGGGGCCCTGCGCGCCTGTTGGCAGAGGCGGCAAACTAGGTGAACGAAAAGGCAGTGAGTTGAGTCCCATTCACGGTGCCAAGGGGAGATGTGGAGGGCCGATGAGCCGAACTAGGAAAGCAAGGTTTCCAAGAGAAGGCAGTATCGAATATCTATGTTTATTTAGAAAAAAATGATCCAGAAAAATGCAAGGCCCAGAGTGGAAACCAGCTCTGGTTGGAGAGAAACACTTAGCATTTTGATGCACTGGTCCTTTTAAAGTAGTGTTTAAAGCGTGGGTGTGCACGTTTTACAAAATTTTACAAAATTGGAATCGCATTGTCCTTTTAAATATTTGTCTTCCTTTCTTAAACTTAAAAGCGCATTGTGAATGTTCTTCCATAGTTTTCTATTCTTTAAAGACCCGGCTGCATGTTATTTCATGATGTGTATATTCATCATGTTTTAACTACCCTCCGTTAATTTGATCATTTCCACTATTTTTTTT